AAGGACAACTTACGGAAGAAGATTTGGTTACGGAAAACGCGTAGACGAGATCTTGGCCTGTATTGCGTGTTCTATTGGGACGGCAACTTCGGAAGCAAAGAGAAGAAGAATTGTTCAGTTGAGTCCAATTGCCATGCAAGCTGAGAGCCAAATCGGCTTCTAGCCGATTAGGAAAGATTGTTTAATAGCCGATTCGGAAACATTGTTTAATAAGAGACACATGAGTCCAGATGCTCCTCTCGTGGAAAAAAGAGGCAGCAGAAGCTAGAAGGTATTTAGGAAAGTGCACATGTCATATGACCGGATATGTTTAGAAGACATGTCCGACTATTAGAGATATACAAGACTGATTATAGACATATCGTATTGGAAATTGAATATGAGTCTTACATCTTACATGTAAGATCATGGATGATGGAGAGTTCATATAGCACGACATGTAGATCGAATGGTTGTTATAGAGAAATAGTAAGATCACGCATGACGAAAGGTTTATATAGCACGGCGTATAGATCGAGCGGTTAATATGGAGGGAGAGCCCCTAAAAAAACTCATTCTTTATGATGTGAGATATTATATTATATTATATTATATTGGTTACAAACTTAAAATTATTAATTAGTATATTTTATTGTAAATAATCTAATTGTATTGTTAAGTTTGACTATGTGCGCGTTTTACAAACTGGACGTCGATCAAATACATATTGTAAACGAGTATGTGCAATTACAAGTGCACAAAAACACATTTTCATAGCAACATGTAACTATTTCCATTTAGGCATCAGGGAGCTCTAGTTGAAGAGTGAATAGTTACAACTGGTGGCCGTTTTTCCAGTTGAGTTATCTTCTACTTAAGTCACTCTAAATCTTATTATACATGTGTTTAGATATGGACCCTTAATTTTATTCTGGCACGTTTAGTTCCTGCTTTGCAAGAAACCAGTATTGATGAGATTCATCGGAGTACAACGATGTATTGACGTGCCCCCAAAAGGACCGATGAACTTTTTACTTTCTAGCAATAATGGTGATGCAGTGCAACTAACATATATAGCGTCGAGTTCGCATTTGGGCAGCCGAATGAAGTGACATGCACCATCAAAGGTGGCTCAGCCCATAAGATCGAGGCGTATACAGCGTTGCTCAGCGTGCACTGCAAGCTATCGTATAGTACCAAATATGATGATTTTCTTGTAACCCTACCTCTCCAGAATATATAAGGAGAGACAGGGGTCCCCTAGTGGACAGATCCATACATCTCAATGCAATACATCAGAACACATGATGTAAGTATTACGTCATACTGACGGCCGAACCTGTCTAAATCTTGTGTCTTGGTGCTTGTATTACCATCTCGCTCCTGATCTCGCTCACCTCTACGACAAATCTAACATCGTGGGATACCCCTCGGTGGACCGCTGAACATCTTTTGTCGACAGTTGACGCGCCAGGTAGGGGCAGTGCGTGCTGATCCATGGCGAACCAGATGGGATCTCAAGACTTACGTCCTGACGAGATCGACTTTCATCTTGCCTGCGACATCTACACGGAGATTTGCTACCGAACTCAAGTCGCCGAGCGAAGACCAACAACCCAGATCGAAAACTCACCGCCCGCTGGGTGCTCACCGTCAACGCCGATCAGATAACGCCATACGCCGTCGACCAGACTTTCTGTCTAAAACTAAGTCACGCTTTAATATTCTTCTAGATATTCTCCAATCTTCGTATATCGCCATAATGTTTCTCCGAGCTGTTTTCTCCATATTTGCTCTCCAAACAATTTTCTGAACCCCCGAACAGTCATGTTGATGCTCGGACGCCTCCAGAGACGGCACTGTCTTTAGCTCCTCCCTACACGTGTTACGGGCTCCACGCTCTGCGTTATGGGTGGTCGGCTGTGGTTCCTCGGTCACGTCTGTTCCTTCTACACATGCACGGGCTCCGTGCTCGACGTTATGGTTAACAGGCTGGTTAGGGCTAGAGACTCAGCTACACACTAACTATTCGGGCGGTTTATATTAAATATAAATACATCTTCACACCAACTGATTGCCGAGTTACATACGCTATTTCATCGCCATTGCTGAATTTTCTCCGGAGTTCATATATTTTTACATCATGTACTACTCGTTCTACATATTTGTATTGCAGGATCATCGCCCAGGTGATCGGACCACCTGCTGCTCGGACTTCTCCACCGATCAACTGGTCGAACCGCTAGGTTCATGGACTTCGTCGCCGACCAGTTGATCGGACTGTTTACCGGTCGCTTCTACTCAATGCTCACTTCGTCGTCGACTAGTTGACCAGACTGTTCGTCGCTCGTGCTCGGACATCGCCAGGTACGCGGGGACTCCTCGGTGCTCGGACATCGCCAGCTACGTCGGTTACTCCTCGGCGCTCGGATTCTTCGTGCTCGGGGACTAAGTGGACACACTTCACCCCACTTCACCTTGCGGACGTCGCCAGCTACGCCGAGGACTCCTCGGTGCTCGGACATCGCCAGCTACGCCGGGGACTCCTCGGTGCTTGGACATCGCCAGCTACGCCGAGAGACTACTCAGTGGTCGGACATCGCCAGCTATACCGGGGACTCCTCGGTGGTCGGACGTCGCCAGCTACGCCGAGGACTCCTCGGTGCTCGGACCTCGCCAGCTACGCCGGGGACTCCTCGGTGCTCGGACCTCGCCAGCTACGCCGGGAACTCCACGGTGCTCGAACGCCGCTAGCTACGTCGGGGACTCCTCGGTGCTCGGACGTGCTTTCGGCCACGCACGTCGGGGACTCCTCAATGTTTCGGACGTCGCCCGGCTATGCCGGAACTCCTCGGTGCTCGGACATCGCCCACCATTGCTGGAACTCCTCGGTGCTCGGACATCGCCCTCACGGTGGGAACTCCTCGTTGCTCGGACATCGCCGGCTACGCCGGAACTCCTCGTGTTTCGGATCGCCCATCGCCTAGGACTCCTCGGTGTTTCGGACACGCCCCTCGCCGGGGACTCCTCGGTGTTTCGGACATCGCCGCGCCACGCGGGGACTCCTCGGGTTCTCGACATCGCCAGCTACGCCGGAAACTCCTCGGTGCTCGGACGTCGCCAGCTACGCCGGGGACTCCTCGGCGCTCGAACATCACCCTTGGTGGTCGGATTTTGCTACGTCTCATCGGTGTGCTATCAAGCTGCTCCATGCTGTTCGGATCAGGGTGCTGATCTTGGGCAGCACGTATGGGGTCTTGATACGCGCATGTCGGATGACGTCGGTAAAGCTTTCAGACTTCTTTTTCTTTGATCCTGCTACAAGATTCATTCTTCATCTTCCAGTAGGCTCGGGGACTAAGTGGGCACACTTCACCTTGCGGTGAATGTGCTCTTTTTTCATCTCGAGGCTACGCCCGGGGACTGGCTGCCTGCTCGGCTGGTCTTCTACTTTCTGACCCTGACACCACGTGACTACGTCACCTACTGTCAGGCTCGGTGACTAGCTGTGGGGGTATGGCCCCGGTATCCACAGGACAAGACATGGGCCACACTATCAGAGGTGGACCAACCCATAAGATTAAGGCGTGCACGGCGCTGCTTGGCGTGCACCACAAGCTATCGTATAGTACCAAATATGATACTTTTCTTATAACCCTACCCCTCCAGAGTATATAAAGAGAGACAGGGGTCTCCTAGTGGACAGATTCATACATCTCAATGCAATACATCAGAACACATGATGTAGGTATTACGTCATACTGACGGCAACCTGTCTAAATCTTGTGTCTTGGTGCTTGTATTACCATCTCGCTCATCTCGCTCACCTCTATGACAAATCTACCATCGTGGGATACCCCTCGATGGACTGCCGAGCATATTTTATCGACACATGTCGTGGCACCAAGTTTGGTGCCTATCATATCATCTTTTATAAGATACAATTTGATATCAAAAAATTAACATGATCCTACAAATTACACTTTCATCATTCATTTATTTTATTTTATATTATTATATTTATAAATTATAATAATAGCTCTAGTAATATTTAATTATAAATATAGCCATATAAAGTTTGTATCATATAATTACGAATTATTAGCTAAACTATTGGTCAGATATTTTTATGTTTAAATCTTAATATATGTGTACGCTTTATAAAAGAGATTGGAAATACAGTGCTCATAAGAAACCACAAATCAATAATGACAAACAATTATTTTTTAAAAAAATGCACGTATGATTAAAATTACGTACTCGTAACTAAACTCTCTTCATCGATCGAAATCATGCATGGACCGAAATTGCTCAGCAAGGATGCCGAGCAATTTTATTTTTCTTGACACCAGTGCCATGAACAAGGCAAACTAAAGCGTTAAAGTAATCACCATGTCTGAAAGCGTCTTGTTTGCTTGACTGGAGGGAGTAATGTAGCTCCCTAGAATGCTAGTAGATTCCTGGAGTACTTTTCAGAACGAGAGGTCGATGCGTGCACACGGACGAGAGCTAGCTATCCTTTAACTGTTGAACAAAATCTCCTAGCTAGCTTTATCTCCTAGCTTCAGTTTTCTTCCTCTATTTAAAGCCTCGCCCCTCCCACTCTGCTTCATCATTCCTTACAATCTCAAAATCCTCCTCCTTCCCTGGTCCAGAGCGCGTCCGGCCGTCGCTAGCTCCCGGCGACGAAGCGAAGCGCCGCCTCTGTCCCACGCTAAGGTTTCTCCAACTCGATCGGATGGAAAACAACAAGGCATCATCAGTCGCGTGGCCGAGGGAGAAGAGGTCGCTCGAATGGGTCTGTCAGTGGTCACTGTGCGCCTGCCTCAGCTTTCAGAAGCACCCTGGCCGTGCCAGACCTCAAGGTACCCGCTGGTGCAATTACTTAATCAACTTCCTTTACTAAACACCCTTGACACCATTCGTTCATGATGAATTATTATTATGATTACTATACGTGATCACACACAGATGATCTATCCCTGATTAATCCCGTTTAATTTCTGCATCTGCCTGCCTGCATGCAAGCACAGCTCCTGACGCCCGCGCAGGCCGCCAACGCGCTCGGCCTCCAGAACGCCACGCTGTGGTTCGGCGCCGGGGGGGCCGGCGCCGCGGTGCTGCTCAAGGGCCGCGCCCGGGTCCACCGGGCGCTCGCCTGCGTCGCCCTCGCGTCCGCCGTCGCCATCCACTGCGTCCTCACCTGTTTCCTGGGAGTGAACCTGGTCACCGCCCCGAACGACGACCTCCTCGTCGTCAGCGTCATGTCGGCCATCGCCTTCCTCTTCTTCGCCGTGGTCGACGCGAACGCCGCCCTGGTGCTGCTCCGTCGAGCTGGAGGGGAGGAGTGAGCCGGGCCGCCAGGCAGGCACCGGCAACTGACTGGCAGGATAAGCTGCCTCGTCGTCGATCAGGACTCATGGAGCTGAATAATCGTAGTACGTAATCTGTAGTGTTTGTGATGTCTCATCTCATGATGTAATGCATGAGCTTGATGAGTACGTATGGGTTGACCTGTACGACTATATTATGGACTCAATTAACCAGTGCAGGCTATGTATGAGCATGTCATATATATGTTAGACCTTAATAAGCATATATGAGCAGTTACGTCCTCCTTCGGTATAATATTTGGTGAAATTATCATGAATGGTGTTACATTTCTTGTGCCGATGAGCTTTATTTTACGTTGTACTATCAGGATATAAACGAATTTTTTTAAAAAAAATAGCTCAAGAAACTCTGGCACGGGGATTTGCGCACGCGCGTCCATGGGCCTACAACGGATCAGCCCAGCGGACAAAAACAAAACGACCCATGAAACGGAAGTTCTCCGCCAACCTTCAGCAACGCGCACGCGGAGTTCAGTCGCCGGTGCCGACGCCGCGGCCCAGCCTCTCTTTTTTTGAGGGAAAGGTCCAGCCTTTCCCTTGCCAAGCTCGCGTGGCACGCACCAGTGGTACACAAGTCTAGTGTCTAGACACAATATTTCTTTTTTCTTTCTCAAACGATACGATGATGCAGAAGTGCAGTGTGTGTCATTTTATTAAGAGACTTGTCCATGTAAGGCCTGGTTTAGCCTTAAAATTTACTCCATATCCAATCAAATGTCAAGACACATGTATGTAATATTAAATATAGGCTAAAAATAACGAGACGAATCTTTTAAGCCTAACTAGTCCATGATTTACAATGATGTGTTACAGTACACATATGCTAATGACTGATTAATTAGTCTTAGTAAATTCGTCTCGCAGATTACTGACGGATTCTGTAATTTGTTTTTTATTAGTATTCGAACACCTCATATGACACCCGATGTGACACTCCAAAACTTTACGTCTAGGATTTAAATAAGGCCTAAATTCTAATACTTTTGTCGGAAACGTGCAAAGAGGGACGTTCTTTGTTAATAACCGGGTTAAAAGACAGCATCGCAGGCAGCTCCAGCTTCCCAGCAAGCTTGTGGCACACACAAACAACATAATTCCTCACTAGTGTTCTGTTCAAACTTTAAAAGCAGCAACACCAACACGTCTGGCAAGAACCCGATGTTCTTTGCATCAGAGGCCAAGACATAAAGCATCCCAATTTCCCCCCTCTTTATTTCCCCAGAAGCTTTAACAAAAGAGCAAAGCATAATCCATTCCTTAGCCCAGTGCCGACTGCCGTGGCCGCCGCCCATTCATCAGTCCCTTCCAACTAGTTGCAACTTGCAAGAACAAATGCGAACGATGCAGATGCTCACCCACCTGACCTGACCGATCGCAGAGGCAGGCCGGCGGACATTGCTGAAGAACCCAGGCACCCAGCCATGTCGTCGTCGTCGTCAGGTCCGGCGAGAGGGAGCAGCGCTAGCGCGGGCGAGAGCCTCCGGAGCTCGTGCAACGACTTCGCCCGGACCCTGGCGCGGCTGCCGGCGACCATCATGGAGGGGCTGTCGAGGTCCATCCCCCGCCGCGCCCCGAGGAGGAGCCACCACCCCTCGGCACTTCCCCACCATCTCCAGCCACCGCCGCCGCGGCTTCCACCGCTCGTCCCCGAGGAGCTCTTCTTCTTCAGCGTGTTCGAGCAGCAGTACGGCGGCCACCACCCCTTCTTCTACGGGTGCCGCTTCGCCGACGCGATGCGGGCAGCGCGGAGGGAGGGTAGGCTCGTCTTCGTGTACCTCCACGACCTGGGCCACCCCTACACCGAGCCCTTCTGCCGGAGGACGCTCTGCGCCGACGTCGTGGTGGAGTTCCTCGACGCCAACTTCGTGTCCTGGGGCGCCGTCACCGGCACCGGGGAGGGGCCCGGCATGGTGGCCTCGCTGCAGCCCGGCAGCTTCCCGTTCTGCGCCGTCGTCGCTCCCGTCTCCGACGAAAGCATCGCGGTCCTGCAACAGGTAGTGGCTGTCCGCCCTCCGCCGTCGTCGTTTTTAAACGTCGATCGACAGAGTCTGCAATGCATATCTTTGCCTTTGCCTGCGACAATTGTGATTTTAGCACGTTCAGTTTTTGTGCCAAGAACTGCAACACGCACGCCTTGTGATCTGTGATCTCCATCACTGCAGGTAGAGGGGCCAGTCTCACCGTCAGAGCTGGTGGAGATCTTGCAGCGCACCATTGACGAGCAGGGCGCGGCTTTCAGACCCTCCAGGCCTGTCGAGCAAGCTGCAGCTGCCAGATCCTCCAGATCGGCAGAGGAAGAAGAGAGGAGGTGGAGATCGGCGCAGCGGCTACGACAAGAACAGGACGCTGCTTACATGCAGTCCCTCCGGAAGGACCAGGTAGTCTTTTCTTGTCATGGCAGCACATATCTGAATTCTTTGCTCTGAAGAGCCTACTGAACTCTTTTGGCTGCAGGAAAAAGAAAGATCTCGAAAGAGTCAGCAAGAGGGAGCTGCCATTGCCAGACCGAGAGCAGGTAACGAGCTTCGCCCAAGACGTGCAGGCCAGGCACCAAGAGAACCTACCACCAAGACGACTCAGATCAGAGCATCCCCTCACAAGGAAACTGCACCTGCACACAGAACTGAACCAAACACCAAGGTATGATAACGGGTAGCTTCTGCAGACAAGAGTGTTCTTTGTTTTTCAAGAAACGTACGTGTTGTCGTACAAAGAAAGAGTAGTACTCTGGTAGATTTGATTACGGCATTACGCATACGGCTCTGGTCTAGTGGCCTATGCTGTCAGGTTTGAACTACGGCCTTTTTTTGCAGATAATGATAAGATTTCCGAACGGTGAGAGAAGGCAGCAGAGCTTCCATCACACGGACACCATCAGAGAGGTCTACAGGTATGTGGACTCCCAGGGCATACCAGGAATTGGAAGCTATCAGCTCGTGCGAAGCTACCCAAGGAAGACGTACGGTCAGCAGCAGCTGGGGATGACTCTCGGAGATGCAGGTTTCTATCCGAGCGTGACATTGTACATTGAGCAGCTCCAGTGATTATACATACTGTAATCGTGAAACCAACATAAGCAAGTGATGCATGGGTATATCTGGAGATGTGTGCCAGAAATTTAGACAAATGTCTGTGTACATTCTTTAACTCAAATCCACATGTTTCACTTAGTTGAGAACCTTGTACTAGTAACCCACATATTTCATTTAACAGAGGACCTAGTACTAGTATATATTTTATACTAGGTTTTCGTTTTTAAAAAAATATACTAAGTTCTTTTCTTTTGGAACTAGTAAGCCCCTCAGTACCCAAAATAATTTAACAAATAAGCCATCTAAGCAGTTCTTACATACATGTGAATCGCTCCTATGCGCTTACAAAACTGAAGCCGGGGAAGATCACAGCTCCAATAAAAATCCAACTAACCATCAGAATCTTCATCATCGCTGGGCTGTTCGTAAATTTCAAACTCCCCATCACTTGCATCAGCGTTGATAGGAGCATCACCTGATTTGTTTTGGCCATCTTCCTGCAATGGCAAGCTGTGCAGTACTTCTTCGAGGTATCCATTCGAGAAGCCTTCACCAAATGTATAGGAATCACCTAAGGTGAAATCATGAATATCCTCTGCCATAGGTGGAGAATCATAACCATCCAATTCCTCTTCCTCTTCTTCATCATCCACATCTTCACTATCAGAGTTGTTAGGGCCAACTTGATCCTCAGTTCCAGTTTGTGTGGCAGGAACTTCATCAGCATCATTATTTTCTTTTGACCGCTCAGATCTCGAAAGGGCTTCCTGCTTCTTGGACCTTTCAATAAGTTCATGGGCATTCCTCAACAAGTTTTTAGCCTCTTCATTGGGCAATAAAGAGAGGAACCTGATGCTCACTTGCAACCTCAGGGTTTTGATCATTGGCTTAGAAAACCAACCTGTAGAACGTGAACAAACTGATTGATAAGAAGGTTTTCGAATTTCTGCTTGAATAAAGTCATCCTTCAGTTCATATAATTGCAGGAAGATGAAACTCTGTGATGGCATTGCTTCAAGCTTGCACATATCTGCCCACTTTTGAGCCCCAGAATTCTTTGGCCTTAGAAGATACCGTAGCTCAGGAGGCATGCGAAAATCAATTCTCTGATATATTCGTGACTCAGAATCTTTACGAGGGTCATATCCTCTTCTGATCCAAAATTTTCCAAAGGGTCCAGTAGAGAAGTAGTATCCAGCTCTAAACAGAAGCCTTTTGAATTGGCTTTGAGAGACATGCACACTATCATCAAGCAACCGTTCATAAAGTGATTGCCTTGGCCACACAGGACGCTCATCAAACAATTTGCAGACAGCCATTTGCCAATCCCAATCTACAGAATTCTTTCGAACGTGGTCTATCCAATTAATCTTCTCCGGGACAACTTGAGTGTTGAACGGAAGGGCAAGAGTTGGTCCAACGTTCATCTCCCACCGTTCTTGTATGACTCCCTTGTGCATGGTTTTAGATAGGGCATTGGACGATGGTAGAAGCGCTATCTTTGTTGGTCTATCCTTCACTGAGAAGAATGGGGGCACCAACATCATGACATCTCCATCTGCTTCATGATGTCCTGTCTTATCTAAATTCCTTTCGTTATCATTTTGAGAATCTGAATGTTTTCTTTTTCTCGTTTGTGCAGCATGCACTGGAACAACATGTTGAAAGTCTGCCATACCTTCGAAGTGGTAGGCAGTCCGGACACGAGCGACCACCTCGGCGCAAGGTGCCGCAGCTCCCTTACGCTTGGAGAGGCGCAGCAGAAGGCCAGTGGAGGCGCGGGACTGGCCGAAGGCTGGATGGCAGTAGGGGTCCTCGGGGCGGAAGCGGAGCTCGAGGCGGGCGCCGGGATCGGAGCTCCGGACCTTGGCGATGCCGGGGAGACCGCCGAGGGTGCGGGCGGCGCGGGCGGGGGAGGAGGGGTAGCCCGGGTAGTGCACGGCGAAGACCTCGGCTGCTGGTAGCGTGCCGGAGATGGCGCCGTCTGTGATGGTCCATGGGGACGGCGGGGCCACCGGCTCTGGCGGCGCGGTGGTGGGGGAAGAGGGCGAGGAAGCCATTGGACTCGGGAAGGACTACGCCCCAGGTGGGACGAGCAGATCGCTGGCGGGGAAGAAAGCAGAGGAAGGTGCGCCGGTCGCGGCTGCGGGCGAGGCTCCGGTCGCGGGCGAGGGCGTGCTTGCGGCGGCGCGAGGGGCCGCGAGGGCGCGCGGGCGCCGGAAGGGGCCGGTCGCCTGCGGGGCGAGCGCGCGGTCGCGGCTGCGGGTGAGGCTCTGGTCGCGGGCAAGGGCGCGCTTGCGGCGGCGCGAGGCGCGAGGGGCCGGTCGCGGAGGAGCTCTGCCCGGCGGTTGGGGACGAAGGAGATAGGGAGAAAGAGCTGTTATAACTTGGTTGGGCCAATATACGCCGGCGCACAGTTTCCTTACAAGCACGGCCCACTAGTCACCAGTTGACAACCAACATGAGCCAACCCAAATCATAGATAGATGTTACCACTGCAAGAAGAAATTTACATTTTTACTATTATAATGATCACCACTCGTCCGATTCTAATCCTTAAAATAGCAATTACATATTTACCAGAAATAAGAGACGAAATCTTAAAAGTTTGCAAAAAACGAGCGTTTTTACGTACGTATCGAGGAGCCGGGCAGAGGCAGCTTCATGTTTTCGCAATGCGCCACCACGCTGGCACCTTGTGTTCACAGCGCGGTGAGCGTGTGTCGTTGTAAACGTAGTGTGTAATTCTGTTATTTATGTTAGATTTTAGAGTTGGCCATCACAATTCTCATTTGGACGGAGAATAATGCCTTCTTTGGAAGGGAAAAAAAATCTCATTTCCACTATTTTTTCTATGAAATGAACCGATTCATATGAAAATATGTATAACTTTTTTTTGTCAAATTTCTGTGTTCCGGATAGGCTCTAAAATATTTCTATTTTTTAGGTTCAAGGTGATCTGACGCCTTGTTTGGACGGAGGAAGAGGTATGGGTAGGGATGCCAATCTTATACGCGGGTTTCATACCCGACGGGTGTGGGTATGGACATGAAAACTTATCCGCGGGTACATGAGGGTCGGGTACCTGTAGAGATGCGGGTAGGGTGCAGCCGTGCGGGTAACAAAATTTGCCCACGGGTACCCGCAATTTCAGAATTTATATGAATATGTGTCTCCTATGTCATATGCATATCAAGTTAATTAACTCATTTAACATGTAATAATTTGTAACATATGCATAACATGTTGAAATGATATTTTATATGGATGGCTAAATAAAGTGATTATGTGAGCTATTAACTTGTTACTTTAGTTCATGTGTAAGTTTTGTGTTATTCGTCGAATTATGAATCTATAATGTACTATGTCTTGTGAGCTACTATATATTGTCCTAATAAACTCCATGCAAGTGAGATTGACATATTTGTGTGTCATTTATCTATGGATTTATTATTTCATATCACTATGATTTTATTATGATCTCTCTTGAATATACCCGACGGGTACCAATTGGGCGTAGGCGCGGGTACGAAATCTTACCCACGGGTATGCTTGTAGGTAGGTAAAAGTTAGGGTCGCGGGTGTGATTGTGGGCGGATAAATGATCTACCCGCACCTTACGCGACCCACTGTCATCCCTAGGTATGGGATGTCACGTTTATCTGTGTATCGATACCTCCTCTTTATGATGGTGAGCTTTTTCTTGAAGTGACAGTAAACGTTTTGCCACGATTTTTGTTAGATGGGAAAAAATAAAATGACAAGTGTTCACTCAGTTTTTTAGTAGAAACTAGACGCAAAAACCACATAATTTAGAGAGTGTGCCGCTTATCTTGCATAACTTCGGTACACCGACTGAATAGCTAACAACTTCACGTCCTGCTTGCTCAACACTGAGTCAATTTGGTCGAAACGAACCAAGTAGCAACTCAACTACACTGGAATCTAGCTGACAACTAAAGCAACTTAGAACATCTCAAGCCAAGAACTAACTAGATAAAAAACCTTCTTTGCCCACCACACCGAACACAACTAGCAAACTCAATGGTAAGCTTACCCATCTTAAATTGTTCATACCCTTATTTTGCAACAAAAATATAGAAAAATGGGATGGTAATATCTTGGCATACAAAATAGTATGGTATTTGTTAAAATATTTTATATTATATTATAGAAATATATTTAAGGAATTACATATACCACATCTTTTAATCTATACCTAATAATAAAGAGTCAAAATTTCTCTCCACCTATTTTTTGGTCCGGCCATCCCTTAACTAACTTTGTGAATGTGGAAAACCGCTTATAGCCCTTCTCTATATATAACTAGGAATCCTAATCCAATTAGATCTTTCCAATTTCTGGTGAATAGGAATCTTAATCCAAATAGAAAAAAATATAATAATATGGACAACTATGAATCTTATATTAATCCAATTAGATTTCTCCAACTCCAAATAATTGAAATAGGAATCTTAATCTAAATATAAAAATATAAGAATAGAAATCTAATAAAAAGGAAAGATGGGTAGAATTTCTTTGTTTAGTTTCTTTTCTGTTCAGCGAGGAAACCGCCAACACCTATCAAAAGAAAACGGAAAAAATACAAGTCTACTCGTACACCTGTGGGAAAAAAGGAAAAAATACAAACCTAGCCAGTATCCCATATATATAAATTATATAAATAAATAAATAATAGAAAATCATATAAACTATAATAAATAGATAAATAATAGAAAAGTATTTTATATGATCTATAATAAAAAAATCTATTCAACGAGTAGTTAACACCTTAGAGTTTACGGGGCAAAAAGAAGTGTAAAACCATGGTATTGCATATATTAGATTAATCTACGTATTATATATAAAATATCTAATGTTCATGTTAGAGAAATCCGCATCCATGCATGGTAGAGAGTTTGATTCAAAACGAAATAAAATTGATGATGCAATCACTGTCTAGAGTCTGATTCTAAGACAAACATGTCTATACAAGTTTGTAGGCCTAAATATAATTAACCAAAACCGAAAGAACCGGAAACAAAAAATTTGGTTCCTGATATCGATGAACCGCAATAACCGAAGAAAAATCGGTTTGACAAATTTTTATGAGTCCTTCAAAAGAGTCATCAAACTCGATATCTACCAACACATGGATACTATAAAGTTAAAGTTATGATATCATTATGGATACATCTTTGTGCCTTATGATTAATGAAAAAAATTCTAGCAAGACTTGTTTTACCTTAACATTAGATATTTTTTCCCGTTGTAATATACGGGCATATTTGCTAGTAATTACAAACGAAGGAAAAGGTATAAAAACTCGATTATAAGAATCAAGGAAAAATTAAGACGAGACAATTAGCCAGGGGTCCCACATCCTATTTCAGTATTCGCACGGTAGAAATCTGAATCTCTTGCGTTCTGGACTCCTTATCCTCATCCCTGTTGCATCTTCCTTCTCTCTCGCTCGCTTCTCGCTCATCCTCTCTCATCGCAACCACAGCGAGCGCGCGCTGGCCCTCCTTCCCGTACCCGCACGCTGCCGCGGGGCTGTCCGTCCTAGGGGACCTCACCGACGGCGAGACGATATCAACGGCACCGCGCGCCTCAACGTCACAGGCCTTCCTCTGAGACTAGTAAAGGATAAGGAGGCCCACCCGGCAGCGACTGCTCTCCGCACCCGCAACGGTCATGGCCTTCGCCGCCGTCCTCCGCGCCCGCCCCCTCGCGGTGCCCCCTCCGCTATCCACCTCCACGGCACCGCCATTCTTCGCCACTTCGGCCTACGCCTGTGTCCCGCGCCTCACAGCAGCAGCAGCAGCAGCAGCACGAGCCGTACGGTACCGACGACGGGGCCGGCGGAACCGCGTGGCTGCGGCGATTACCGCGTCGCTCGACCTCACCGAGGACAACGTCCGGCTGGCCCTAGACGAAGCGAAATCCGAGGCAAGGAAACTGAACTGATTCCCCTTCTCTCCCCACCCCAATCGAAATGCCGTTGCAGGCTTGCAGCCTCGAGCAGTCGAGCTAACGCTGTCTCTGGTCTTCTGCACGTCAGCTGGGGCAGCTGTTCGACAAGTCGGTGGGCATCACAGGTGAAGGCCGGGCCGAGCGCTTACCAAGAAGACCTGTAGTGCTAATTTTACCAAGAAATGGCTTGTGACTTCTCCTACTCGTGGATGGTTCTTTGTTGGTTGCAGGGCAAGTTGATCTCGCGGAGTTGGACGGGCCGTTCGTGAAGCTCCGGCTCAAGGGCAAGTTCTGGCACACCCGCGCCACCGTGGTCGCGCGGATCGGCAACTACCTCAAGAACCGCATTCCGGTGAGGGTTTGTTGTGTTATGGAGTGCTCTTGCTCTTGCTTCAACGAATAATGTAGGGTGGGCCGGTGCAGGAAATGGAATGAGTGTTAATCAAGGTGTAGCTGGTGGTGATCAATGAGGTCTATTTTTATTTCAGGAAATCTTGGAGGTGGAGATAGAGGACGAAAAACAATTGGATGATAGCCCCGCAGCTTTCTGAGGTATCAAATGATCACAATTTAGATCAATCTTGTGATTCATCAGTATGTGCCAGTTGAGGTTCAGGAAATGGAACACGCTTTCAGTCTTCAGAATTTGACCTGGACTAGAAGCAGCACCTACAGTATTCGGGAAAATTCTTCTTGGAGGCTACATTTCCTACACTATTAGTCTTGTGCTACGTACTCTGTTAATGTCAAAACTACGAATCATGAGCGCATGAACTCTGCTTTAATTCAATCATCACTGTGGCTCACATGACAAGAACACTCACCATCCTCAAATCTGAAAACCTGAATTTATGAAACTTAATCTGAAGGAGCAAATATAATAGACCTGACTGTTTATATTTTCATAATCACAGTTCCAGCTTCAGGGATCTGCAGTTGCCTATATGGGTTGGTTTATACCGTATACACATTGATTGCAGATATCCATTATTTGGAGGAGCTTAATCTAATACTACTTATTATGAAGAAGCATGGTATTGTTGAGGGGGGACCTAATCTTGGGGAAGTGTAATGGTTTTTCCTTTTAGGATCATCATCTTGTGTTTGAAAAGGTTCTGGCAATGATGCACATGCCTTGATTAAGATATTACAAGTCATCACCGTTGTTGCAAATGAATGTCTTTAAGTTGTTGCGATCATCATATATCGTTTGAAATACTATTTTCATCAGTACGGACCTGTGGTTATTTTGTCCAGTGGTGCGCCCACAAGGCCAGAAATATATTCAAACTCACAGGATTAGCAGCCGTTCATCAATCAACTCTCGTGTTATTTCCATTTTTGTTCATAATGACAGCAATATGTGACATTTTGCTCTTCTCATCTGTTGTTCCCTCCCACTTTTTCAGCACCTCTACTCTTCCACGTTGAGCTCCACAGACCTGTGTGTTGAGTATTTCTGTATGTGCATCTTTTGTGGCCTGAACGCTCTCGTGTCTGAACACAATAGCAAATGTCTGCTCGTTGTCTCACGAACAAAACCCTGCTTCGGCACTCACGGTTCACCATTCTCGTAGACATCATGGAGCTAGCTAGCTGGCTAGTTGAAGAGTGCATAGTTAAAACTGGTAGCCGTTTTTCCAGTCCAGTTATCATCTACTAAAGTCACTCTAGAACTTACTGCTATGTGCTTGTGTTTTTTAGATGAACCTTTTTATTGTGGCACGTTTAGTTCCTGCTTTGCATAGAAACCAGTCTTGATGACATTTACCGGAGAAGCTGGAATTTGTCGTTATCAAGTACATGTAGCAGAATGATGTGCCCCCGGACTGAGGAACTTTTACTTTTCTAGCAATGGTGTTGCAGCAGAGGGCATAGCAGCGCGCAAGTGCGCATTTCGGCGCCGAAGTGACACGTCGAGGGACCGACCAAGTTTGGTGCCTGCTACTGCTCACAAGAAACCAAGGACGCCAAACAAAAATTTCCAAATCTGGGCTTTGTTTAGATTGCAAGTTTTTTTCACTCTCTCTCCATCACATTAAATCTTTGGACACATGCATGGAGTATTAAATATAGATAAAAAAAAACTAATTACATAGTTTGATTGTAAATTACGAGACGAATCTTTTGAGCCTAGTTAGACCATGATTAGACAATAATTATTAAATACAAACGAAAGTGCTACAGTGTCAAATACTGATTCCTAACCCTAATCTAAACAAGGCCCTGCACGGATGATTGAAACTCCACGTACTTGCCTGTTTGCTTTGCCGTCTGGCAAAGTTGCCTGGTGCAGGAACTTCTCCCAAGAGTTCGATTTTTTTCCGCTTGGGGTCAGGATCTCTGCCTGGCGCGAGCTGTGTGCCAGGGAGGGTTGAAAGCAAACAGCCTAACCTATCAATTTCCTTCATGATCGAAATCATTGACCGAAACTGCTGAGCAAGGACGATGTCGTGCGGTTTTTTTTTTGGAAACCAGTGCCATGAACACCAGGACGTCGGAGGTAGGAGTACTCCATAAAACTTGCAATAGAACACGACTCTACTGAACACCAGCTGCGTACTTTATATCAGACACGTTTGTTGAACAGCTGGGCTGAGTAAACAGTGATCCTGAAACGCCAAACTCGGAAGCCTCAGCTGCTCTGCCTGTTGCTGTTGGGTTCGGTACTGGGGGATCAGGGGGGCAACATGTGGCAGACCTGACCTGGAGATGCATGCATGATTCATCTCTGCACAAAACATCCTTGAACTCTGAAATCTGACAGACAGATGGGAAGTACTGCTAGTACTGAAGTAGGAGTAATCATTCCATCCTAAAATAAGTAACGTTTTTTAATTTTAGACATCTTATTTAACTATTTGTCTTATTCAAAATTTTTATATAAATATTATCTATTTTGTAATGACTTATTTTTATCATTAGACATACTTTCATAATAATTTATTTATTTTATAATTTATATAAAAATTTTGAATAAAATAAATGATTAAACAAGATGTGTCAAAAGCATAGCTTAGGGCCTGTTTAGTTTCCTCTCAAAATGCTAAATTTTTTAAGATTTTTCGTCACATCGAATCTTTGGACGCATGTATAAAGCATTAAATATAAATAAAAAATAAAACTAATTATCCAGTTTAGACGAAATCCATGAGACGAATCTTTTAAGCCTAATTAGACTATGATTGGACACTAATTATCAAATAACAATGAAAACGCTATAGTAGCATTTTCGCCAAAAATTTCGACATCTAAACTAGCCCTTATTTTGGGATGGAGCGAGTACTCGTAGTGGCCATCTCTGGGCCATGCAGATTCGTCTTGCAAAGTCCAAACCGCTCTCGGGATGAATGATAAACCCACTGTGGACTGATTGCACTGGGAACTGGTGACCGGACCTGTCCTGTCAGCAGCAGCACGTCGCTGTTGGCTGCTCCAGCGTTTCAGAGCTCGATGGCGCCTTGGGCTCTTGGCTAGTCATTTGGTTAGTGGTCCGTTAATTAAGAGAAGGAATCTTCACTTAATTGCGTCCAGATTATCATTACCTCTCTCTGGCTCTCGTGCGAGGCAAACCGCCATCATTGAGACGAATTCTTTGCATGGGGAGGATCATTGCTGTGGCTGTGGTTGGGCTCTCCCTCTCGTCAGGTTGCTTCTGAATAATTCAGTGCAGGCCATTATATATTGTCTCGTAGTACTTGTTTACTCGGCCTAGGCTGGGATTGTCGGCCAGATTAGCGAGGATCCGGTTCCACTTCCATGTCAGGCCAAAAAAAAGCCGCGGGAATAATCGAGGAGCGAAGAAAGGCGCCTCCGCCACGCCACCACACGCGGCTTTGCTCCGGTCCTTTGGCTGCACTGGACTGCATCTGCACTGGATTGATGGAGAAGATAGCATCACGACAGAGATTACTGTTTGTAAGAGCGTTGCAATTTATTTGCAGGTTGCGTTTTGGGGGGCTTGGGCGTGACGCGACGACGCCAAAGTCTTTGCTCGCGCATGTGACACCACGTGAGGTGATCGTGTTTTCGTGCTTGCAAATGCTTCCAACGACCAGTGGATCATCAGGAGCTGCATGCGAGGAGTCCATTTTGTTACTAGTAGCACTATATAGGGTCTGTTCGCTTCAACCACTTTGGCAGTACTTTTTTTTGTTAAACTTCGGGGGGATTAAAGTGATCCCCACCTGACCACTGATGCCGACTAACCGGTGGGTGGAAGGGGCGGCACCCTCTAAGTTTTAGTTTACATGAACAAAACCGAAGCAATGAAAGAGGCGATTACATAGTAACAGAAGCTCTCCAGCGAGCAGCCAAAGCGGCGTTCCTCCTCGGAATTCTAGCAACCCAGGAGCGGACAGACTCCTTGCAAGCGGCGATCAGACGATCCACACTCAGCGGAAGCCCCCGGAAGACGACTTCGTTGCGGTGTTTCCAAATTTCTCAGCAGCAGAGAAGAATGAGAGGGTGGGCAATTGTGCCGTGCACTCGTGGGGGCGTCTCTGTACGCCATAGCTCCTTGGCCTTCGCTATCTTCGACGGATCCCAGCCAAGCCGCACCCAGAATTCACGCACAAAGGCGCAGCCGAAGATGATGTGATCAGCTGTTTCGTCGTCGTTGGCGCATATCTCGCAGAGGGCATGGTCTAGGATATGCTTGAGGACGAGCGCCGTTCTGCAATGGATGCGTTCCTGCACCGCTATCCAAAGAACTTTACCCGCGGTGGCGCAAAGTTTCGCCAGATGAACTTGAAGGAGGGACATTCATGGTCACCGCGCGTCGACGTCCGGTAAATGAGGCTAGACATGAGGCGGTGGTTGTCGTTCTCGAAGAAGCTTTCCCGCTTGTCTTGAGTGTCATCGAGGGTGACGTCCTGGATCATTTCCTGGAGTAGTTGTAGCTCGCCGGCTGCCTGCGCTGTGAGTCGTCGCTGAAAGAGTTGACGCAGGTCCGCCGCGACGACGTCGTGCACGGACACAGCGTGGCCGACAAAGTGGCTGTACAACGCCGGCATTTGTTGAGCTAAAGGCTTGTCGGTGAGCCAGTAGTCATGCCAGAACGCTGTGTCGTGGTCGTTCCCGACCGACACGGTCGTGATGTGCTGGTATGCAGGCAGTAGGTCTCGCAGGGCGGCCCAGTGGGTGCCGGCCAGGTTGCCGGCAAGGTCCGGCAGGGAGACTTGGCCAGACACCCATCTTGCCCAGGCAGAGTCCTGGGGATGGTGAAGTCGGTGCAGTAACTTGAGGAGGAGGCAGGCGTTCTGGGCGTCTAGGCGGATGATTCCGAGGCCCCCGTCTTCTTTTACGCGGCAAACGTCTTCCCAGGCAACCAAGCATTTTGCCCCTGAGGTGGAGTCTGAGCCTGTCCACAAGAAGGCCCGGCGTCGTGCATCAATGGCGGCTATGACCCCTGGTGGCAGCAGCATGGCCCCCATAGCATATGTTGGGATCCCGGCCAAGACCGAGTTGATGAGGACAACCCGACCCGCTGTACTTAGAAGCAGTGCCTGCCAACTCGCCAAGTATCTGTCCACCTTTGCGATGAGGGGAT